CATATGATCCATTGCTAAAGATGCAGGAAAAATGGTCAGTTCTTTCTACCATTCCAGTAAGTACCTGACTCCTCATACTATCCTCTACTTTCACACGAACTAAATCAAGCTTAAGATAGAGTACTGCTGACATATTTGGGCAGGAGCTGCCCAGTCCTTGCTTTCCAGTCTCAGTAGTCCAAAAGCATCTCCATGTCCTTATGGGCGACAAATTATTTTCTACCCTACAACCACTCTCTCACAGATGGGATGTGACAAGCCTCTCACTGATCTATTGCTACTTCCACGGAAAGTGTTTTGACGGACTGCATTCTTTGGTTCTGCCAGTTCTAACCATCATGGCTAAGACCTGCCATACCACTCACATTGTAGCAAACCACTCTCATTTTCTCCATATTGCATTGGTGAGAAGTAAGTTCTACTCGAGCCGCTTCTTCCTGAGAACCACTGCTCTGTAGAACCATTTCCCAATCACTACAATCTTAACCTGTTCAAGTCTAGAGTGAACCGCTATCTTCCCCACCTATCTGCATAAACTGCGCCTCTTACTCTGTAACCCTCTACCTTTAGGGGCTCCTAGGCCTTGTACAGGATGAACCTCACTGTAAAAAAATCATAAAAGAAAAGACAGTGTTGATGTATTTTGGAAATTTAAAATTACCACCAGCTAAAACGAAATTTAAAATTTAGTAAGCTTTCATGAAAATATTCTTTATAACACAATTAATTTTTAATAATCAGTCCTAAGATAAGAGATATTTTGAATTGAGTTTTTGTGAATTTTATGGTTTTTGACCTTTGCAAAATAGTTATCTTCTCCCAATGATTTAAAAATTTATTTTGCACCTACTTAGAGCCAGGAAGACATACTTGACCTCAAACTGAATGATAGATTTTGATACTTTTAGAGATAAAATGTGATCAGAACAAAAATCAGTCAATAAGAAGCTTAATCGTGAATATTAAATGTTGGTTCTTATCTAAAGTTGATGAAAAAAAACTCCTTGTTATGTAAAGAAGTATACATTGTTATACACTGATTTACTCAGACTTATCTCCTCATTTTGTTTGCTATAGTTTCAGTCATTCCACTTTTTGTCCTTTTTATAGGCTTGAAGGTTTCAGATGAGGAATTATCATTATTTTACACTGATTTACTCAGAATAATGTCCTCGTTTTAGGTGTTACAATTACGTTTCCGTCATTCTAACCTCTGGCCTTTTTACAGATCTAAAGTTTCAAGATGATGAATTATCATTATTTTACACTGATTTACTCAGAATAATGTCCTCATTTTGTGTGAGTTGTGAGATATGGAATTATTCTTATTATACAATGATTTACAGAGAATAATTTCCTTATTTTTGTTATTACAATTAGGTTTCAGTCATTCTATCCATTGGCCTTTTTACAGGTTGGATGTTTTGGGATGTGGAATTACCATTAATATAGACTGATTTACTCAGAATAATGTCCTCATCTTGGTTGTTACAGTTAAGTTTCCATTATTCTACACTTTGGCTTTTTTATATGCCTGGAGTTTTGAGTGGAGAATTATTATTATAGACTGGTTTACTCAAAATAATGTCCTCATCTTGGTTGTTACAATTATGTTTTCATCATATTACTCTTTGACCTTTTTACATGCTTGTAGTTTTGAGATGGGAAATTATCATTATTATACGCTGATCTACACAGAATAATGTCCTTATTTTTGTTGTTACAATTCCATTTCAGTCATTCTAACCTCTGGCCTTTTTACAGGCCTAATGTTTTGAGATGGGGAATTTATTATACACTGATTTATTCACACTAATATCCTCATTTTGTTTGTTTACTCAACCATTCATCCTTGCATGGAGCAATATATATTGATAAAATCTAGAGATTGATATGCAGTGTAATTGGCCCTGATCTGGCATCTTGTCTGCAGTAGCTCTCTCATGGATGTGCCATCGCCTCCCTCTGTCTTTTTTACAAATACTTTCATGGTAACTGCTCTGATGAGCTGCTTTCACTGGTTCCCAGACTTCATGAATTTAAGCATTCTACTAGACTGGCATCTCGCTCTCACCATTTCACTGTCAAAACTGTTAAATGTAGCCATCTCTTCTACTCCAATAGCTTCATATCTCGCTGTGTAACTCCCTCCCCTTTTCCTGTTTCCCTGATAGCTATAATCTCCAACTATTCAAATATAATGTCAATCGACATCTCCAGTTGCCTTGATTTATCCCCTATCCTTCTCTTCATCCTTTCCTCTATCCCTTCGATTTGCTCTTGCTCCAATTCTCTGTAACCTTGCTTGGGGTGAAATGCTTAAAAAAAAATTAAAAATAATTACATTTCAGTCATTGTAACCTCTTGTCCTGTTACAGACCTGAAATTTTGAGATGTGTAATTATCCTTATTATACACTGATTTATTCAATCTAGTATTGTCATCTTCATTGTTATATTCATAGTAATTTAGCCATTTTCTCCACCATCTGTTTTCAGGTCTCTTTTCTATAATTTTGGGTGACGTGCATGTGGACTATTGGTTATTTGTATGTCAGCTGGAGCTGGTGAACTGAGTTCAATTTCCAGCAGGTTTGTTGTTCTTACTTCTACATTAATGTTGCTGGTTGATTGTTTTTGTTTAGCAGCATATCAATCTCTATGGGTTATTTAATGCTGAAATCTAAATCTTACTTATTATAAAAGGCAGATTGTGTGTGTGTGAGTGTGTGTGTGTGTGTGTGTATGTTTGTGTGTGTGCGTCTGTACGTTTATATATTGGATCGGATTTCCTACATTTTTCAACCGATTTCAACGAAACTTCACAGCACTACGTAAAATTACCTTGCGGTGGTTCTGACAGCGCCAAAAATTGGGAAAAACACAATTGTTTTTGCACAAAATCAATTTGAAAACATGATTAAGAGGCATTAATGAAAGGGGGACATATATATCGAGTTATACTTATTAATATCGAGTTATACTTATTATAAAACCCAGGTTGGTTGTTTGTGTGTGTGTGTGTGTGTGTGTGTGTGTGTGTGTGTTCATTTATATATGGGATCAGATTTCCTACATTTTTCAACCGATTTCAACAAAACTTCACTTTTTTTTCGGCAGGTAGTGTTTCTTATTGTCTTGCACTCTTTTTTCTTTATTTTTACGTTCAGAATGTTTTAAAAATTCCATTTACAAGACAATTGTTTATAATAAAATTCTATTCAATCAGTAGACTCATAACGATTGAAAACAATGTTTTTGTTTGAGTTTGACCAATTCGTAAAAAAACAAAAAAACAAAAAAACAAAATAAAAAATAAAACTAATTAAGACATGCATGTCCGTCAACCTTAAACAATAATCTTTGTCAATTTTATTTTTCAGTCTTTATGATGGTCAATACTTGATCTATCTCTTACTGTTACATCCCCGGGCAACGCCAGGCTCTACTGCTAGTATTTTATATGCAGTTTTATTTTATCATTGAAGATAATAATAGTTTAGTAATACAAATCTTATTAACACATAGCTAGGTAGAGAAAAGGTGGGTTCATTCCTTTCCCCATAAGTATTCGCCCATAAGTGAATATAGTAAACCTAACTGGAATTGGAACTCGGCTCTCCAGTTAAAAACCATTATCCATTATACCACCTGCAATCTAAGCTTACAGCACCTGATCTTCCCAAGTGGTCATCAATCTGGGTACTGACCAGGCTTGACATTGCTTTAATTTGGTCATCATATGGAAACCAGTGTTTCAACATGATGTGGATGTAAGCCTACATTAATATCATTTTTCAGCTATAGTATAAATAGGAGAGACTCACCTAACTCTGTATAACTGGTTGGCAGCCAGTCTAGAAGAAATACTCTGAACACAGAACCATGGAGAAGGCAGTAGTAAGCCACTCTCCTATCTTTCCCAAGAAGTCATGGCAGTCCATAGATAATAAAGTAAAGGAATATGTGAAAAACCATAACTGCCTAAGTTTTGAATAGCATAAAAACATACTTCTCCTACACCTTGTCATTAGAAAGAAATCAAGTATCTCTCAAGTGGGAATTATTTTATGGGGCATAATCTAGAAAAAGTAATCCAATGGCGAGTCAAGACAATAATAGTCAGCCATCTTGCACCTTGTCCATCATTTCCATTCTACCTGTAATCCTCTACCTTGAGTGGTTCTTGAGCTTTGCTTTCATTGAATTTTATTAAAAAAAAAAGTGATGTTTTCAAATATTTCTGGAAATATTGACATTTCTTAACTTATTTATGGTTTGGTCATAGTTATTTTTTATTAGGGCTTTCTTGTGACCTTGGGGTCAAAAAAGAGGCTTTGAAATCTTTGTTTGAAGTTCAGAGACTAAAGATTTCAATAAGGTTTTCCTAAAGAGAATTCAAAGGATTTTTTTTTTTACTCCAAATGACGATTAGTTCACCAGGTCATAACAGCTGACTATTATTGTCTTGACTGGCCATTGGATTAATTTTTCTATATTATTTCCCATAAAAGAATCTCCAGCTGTGAGAAGCTTGATTTGGCCAAAGAGTTACTTGACCAAAAGCAAAAAAAGTCTCTTTCTAATAACAATATTGGCAACCAGATGTAATGCTTCTAAATTTGCTACAAAATGATCACCAACTGGCAATTTCTAAATTTGTTTTTAGTTCTAATTGTATTCTGGAATTATAAGATGTAAGTTTATATTACTTTCACATTTAATATTCCGCAACAAAATAAAGGGTTCCATTGAAATCCCATTATCTTAGGGTTTGGCACATTCTTCCAGAAAGCTGGCAAATATTATTCTGATGAGATAATAAAAGTAAAAAAAAACACATAAAATATTTGGGTTAGATAATTAAAATTTTTTGATGACCAATTTTAGTAAGATGTATTTCTTTCTTTTCAATTTTTCTATCTAGACTGTTCACATCATCAGTCTATCTAGCTTCTTCATATCGATCGATCTCGCTCAGTCTGTTTATATCAATTTTAGTCTATCTATCTATCTATGTTGGTTCATATCTATCTATCTATCTATCTATCTATCTATCTATCTATCTATCTCAGTTTCTTCATATTGATTATCTATCTATCTATCTATCTATCTATCTCAGCCTGTTCATATTGATAGCTATCTATCTATCAATCTATCTCAGTTTCTTCATATTGATTATCTATCTATCTTTCTCAGCCTGTTCATATTGATATCTATCTATCTATCTATCTATCTATCTCAGTTTCTTCATATTGATTATCTATCTATCTATCTATCTATCTATCTATCTATCTATCTATCTATCTCAGCCTGTTCATATTGATAGCTATCTATCTATCTATCTATCTATCTAACTTTATGTTCATTCATATCTATCTGAATTTATCCATCTGCTGATTCATATCTAACTCAGTTTGTATATCTATCAATCTATCTATCTATCTCAGTTTGTTCATATTGATACCTATCTATCTATCTATCTATCTATCTATCTATCTATCTATCTATCTGTCTGTCACAGTCTTGTCATATCTGTCTTTCTGTTTACACAATCCCAGATTTAGTATGCAAGTCAATGTTGTCAGAATAAAACATGGCATTAAACAACTGATCCTGACAAAATTTTCAAGATATTTATATAATAAAAATGTATGTTAATCCCTACTACTTGAAGAGTATATAGCCACTTGGTTTTGCTGCCATGGCTTGCATAGATTTTTACAGTGTAAAAATGCCAACCTAACAACTAACTAGTTGTGAATTCCAAGTTATCCTTCTAAACAGGTTGCCAACCAAAACTATAGACACCAGTCTACCCTGCTATTTAACCTATGTATGCTAACTCTGTAAAATCCTAGTATAAGGCCAAGGCTAGTGCACTCAACTGGTTTTAAATTCACAGCTCTCCTTATTCTAGACTGGTTGCCAACCAATGCTAAAGACCTCAGTCTACCCTACTATTTTAGCCCTATTAGGGAAGAAGAGATGGATTTGTACATATCCCAAGAGTATTTTCACAAAAGAAAATTCAATAGCTCTGACTGTAATTTGAACTCAACACTCCTATAATAAATATACCATCTGAATTTGAGCTTAAAATAACTAATTTTATTACAAATTTTTACAACAACTTTTAGGTGTGAGATTTCATTATGCAACTTGTGAGTTCTATAGAAATGGGTTGTCACCTCTGAAGTGAAACTGCCTTCTTTTATTTGTCTTCTTCTTCTTTGTGTCATGTACCTTCAGGATGTTGGCGATCATGGTCCTCAACAATTTTCCTGTCCTTTGAAGCTCTTAATAAATTTTGTCTTTTTGTTATCTCCCCTAAACTTTGCACCACCATCAAGCTCCCCAAGTAGATTATGTATTATTTTATGCTGTTGCTCATGCCTTCAATAATTCCTGTGAGTATCAAATTTTCCAAACCCTCTTTCCTCACTATGTGCCCTAAAAATGTCAACTATCTATGTCCTTTTTTCCCATATTCTTTGAAACTTCATTGTTGAACACATCTTCAATCGATGGTATTCTCAACATCCTTCTGTAGAACCACATTTCTGTTGCTTCAAGTCTCTTTTTCAATTAAGTACAATTATATGATTTTTTATAATCATTATTACTTTTTTTTGACAGCACTTACTTTTGCTCACTTATTTTGAAATTGTTGACATTTTCTGGAGGATTATACAGTCCATCACCTAGTCTGATCATGTTACTCATGGGGAAGTCTTAGAGAGAATAGGGTTATATAAACTACAAGTCATGATTTCCATATGATGTCTGAAAATCGTTGGTTACACACATCTGTTTTAACCTTTAGCATGATGCATTATTTATATTAAATCCCTTTCCACTGCATTCTTTTTTCAAGGCCTCTCAATTGCAGTATCCTTATTCTTAATTTCACTCAAAGTTGTTTTCTGTTGCCATAGCAGGATATGATAACACAACTATGAAATACAAATATGCTATTGTTTAGGGATCAGGGTCACCTTCAGTGGCAGGATAAACTTTTTGTACAGCAAATGAAGTTACAAACAGAGTGATAAAGGTTAATGATGGATGACAAGTATTTTAATGGATTAATGTCCGAAAAGGCTGGGAGTGATTCCTTTAATTTGGTGTAATCAAAAAGTGTTTAAAACAAGGTAAGCAATTCTCACACTTTTTCATACTCTTTAGCTTTTTGGTTGTGTACTGCACTCCCACCAAGTTATATATATATATATATATATATATATATATATATATATATATATATATATATATCATAATAATTCAAAAATCTTTAACAGAATGCAGAAAGCACTGGATAACCATTTCATCCTTCTTGGGACTCATCAGCAGTGTGCATCCACTACTTAGAATTGAACCTGGACCATTATGAGACATCGCAAGCATCATATGACTGGGCAACGTTTGATTCTTGGTAGTAGATGCTCACTGGTGATAAGTCCCAAAAATGACAAAAACCAACGTCCTGTGCTCTCTGTATTCTGTTGAAGATTCTTGTTCTAGACTTGATAAATTATGATGAGAAATTATTCAAATCTCAAAAATTCTATCACACACACACACACATATATATAATAAATGCGAATGTCAGTGTATCACTGTGTTGCACTTTTTCAATTAAAAGGACACTACTCTCTAATTTTCGATAGCTCATTTTCTTCTTCTTCTATATAATAAATGCAAATGTCACTGTGTCATATTTTTTCAACTTTACTCCTAGAGACCATAGCCCAACATATAATATTTTGGAATCAGGCTGACTCTGTGAGCAAATTAATAACATTTCAAGCCAGATCTGGACTCGCAATCCTGAAAAATTTGGATTCCCAAGTTTTCATTACTGCGATTGTTTTTGGCAATTTTTGTATGTGATGTTTTGCAACAAATTTTTTGTACAATAACAGGTTCTGATAACTTAAAAATAAATTTGGAAAAAATTGAAATTAATTGCAAAATCCAGCGAAAGTCAGCCATGAAATAAAAATAATTTTTGTACAGAAAGTAAGGACCTACATACATCAAATTGTCTTTAAATTAAGTAGCATCAGAAGAATTATCATTGAGTTTTTAAAAGGTAAGCTTAAATATTAATGCAATACTTAAATGTGCAGCTTTTGAACTATATATATATATATATATATATATATATAGATAGATAGATAGATAGATAGATAATATTAGTGGTTAATATACACATAAATATGCAATCATATATCTAAACTATATAAATATATATACATACATACATGCACATACATATATATATAAAAAATAATTCCAAGAGGATAGAATCCAGGTAGAACTCAATGTCTAGGACAGAGTAAGGATATAATAAAAAGGCTTAAACACTAATATTCCATGGTCATATATATATATATATATATATATATATATATATATATATATATATATTCTCAGATGGAGTGTATCTATAGAAGAGACAAAATGAATGAATGAACACAATGTCTAGGCAGAGTAAGGATATAATAAAAAGGCTTAAACACTAATATTCCATGGTCATATATATATATATATATATATATATATATATTCTCAGATGGAGTGTATATGTAGAATAGACAAAATGAATAAAAAAGAGAAGAGGAAAGACTATACTTAGCATTTCATCATCTGACTTTATCAATGTACATTTGCCTTGATAAAGTCCGTCAGATGACGAAACATATATAGTTTTGCTTCTTGTCTTTTTTATTCACATGTGTGTGTGTGTGTGTGTGTGTGTGTGTGTGTGTGTGTGTGTGTGTGTGCATTTAAACATTTTTCATTGAATAATGTAGACATATTGTGTCTACTTATTTTCATCCTGGTTCTTTCCAGTTGTCTAATCAGTTTCTTCATGTTAAGATGAAATTCATCAAGGAAGGGGCCATAGTTTTTTTTTTAACCCAAGTGCTTTCAATCTTTTCTAAGATCATCTTCAGGGGTAAATTAAAAATAGAAATGTAAAATGGCACTAAATGTTATATGCACTTTAATATATTGTTGCAAAAAGTTTGGTTTTTTGCTATCTCTCCTAAAACCTGTTCCGCCAACAATTTAAACAAGCACATTCTTCTCCTCCTATGAGTCTTGTCCCTTCAGGATGTGGCTGATTATGGCTCTCCCCAATTTCTTGTCCTTTGTAGACTTTAGTAAATGTTGTCTTTTTGCTATCTCTCCTAAAACCTGTTCTGCAAACCATTTACACAAGCATATTCTTCTTCATCTATGTACCATGTCCCTTCAGGATGTGGCTGATCATGGCTCTCCACAATTTCCTCTCCTTTGTAGCTCTTAGCAATGTTTGTCTTTTTGCTATCTCTCCTAAGCCCTATTCTGCCAACCGTTTACACAAACTCGTTAGGTAGGTTATTTGCTGCTTTCTTCTATCCCTTTTTGCCTTCCATATGTCCTGTGAGTGTCAAATTCTCTCAGCCTTCCTTGTTCATTATGTGCCCTGGGAATGTCATCTGTTTATTTATGAGGCTAAGTGTCCTTTTTGTTTCCATTTTCTTTAATGTCATTAGTATAATTAAAATTCTAACCCAGAACCAAAGAGTTTGTGGAATAAGGTATTATTCCATCTACGACATTTTATTCTGCGAGTTGCCTCCCTTTCTCCGTCACTTTCGTGTGTGGTGACGTTTGACACCTCCTTCCTCCTTCGTTCGGTCTAATACAGTAGTAACTGTTTTGGTCAGTAGTCAAACGTCCTGCTACTACGGTTTATGCAAATTAGATTTTTGAAATCTTGCCGCGAAAAATTTGTGACGTCAACGACAAACGGTTGTTTGAAGAAGACAGTTGTGTTCCAGACTCTGAGCTGAGCAGACTCATTTTTATCCACGTCAATATTTCAGTTTGACTGACGAAGGATATCTTACTATGCGACCACAAATAATTAATTCTTCGTTCCTTCTGGCTGGTCATTCAAGAATCCTTTTTTGAGACGATGCAAATACCAAATAATTAATTCTTCGTTCCTTTTGGCTGGTCATTCAAGACCCCTTTTCCGAGACGATGCAAATACCAAATAATTAATTCTTCGTTCCTTTTGGCTGGTCATTCAAGACCCCTTTTCCGAGACGATGCAATACCAAATAATTAATTCTTCGTTCCTTTTGGCTCGTCATTCGGAATTTCTTTCACAAGACTATGAGAACACCAGATAAGTAATTCCTCGTCCCTGTGAGACTCGTCATTCAAAGTCCTACTCCGAGACGATGCAGAACATACAAATCATTCCGTCGTCCACTTTGGGTCTCGCCAGAAATCTGTTTTGAACCAGTACACAAAAAAAAAAAAAATACGTACATAACATTCACTCACATTACCTAAACTCGCAGTGAGTATTTTTCCTTGTATGAATATTACCATGTACATTGACTATCTGGTATCTACTTCTTCTTCAAGAAACTTTTTCCCGCCTTTAGCCATCTTGCCTTTTCATTTTGGCGCGGAACTTTCTCATTAGTCCCTACCACGGGACAAATTACTTGTTTTGTCT